AATAATTTAAACAAATACAACAACAACAACAACAACAACAACATGTTTTTTTCCAACCGCGTGAGAATCGAAACGAGATTTTCTTTTTCTTATTAATAATAATAATACTAATATTTATGAATTGATGATGAATAATAAATTTTTGTAACGTAACATATGTAAATTTTTAAAAAATTCGATCTAGTTTCGTACCTGATATATGTAGGAGAGAGAGAGAGAGAGAGAGAGAGAGTTAGAGAAAATGGCCGTATTTACTCAATGGGTTGGTTTTGTGAAATTAAAAAAAAAAATTCACCTTGAACTCGTTATCACAAAAAAAAAATATATCGCAATATATATATATTTAATGACTTTAATAGTTTTTTTTTTTTTTTTTTTTTTTTTTTTTTACGCGTGTTTTGTCCACGCGTTCGAAAAACACGCGTAAACACGCACATGAATAAAATTATATTCATATTATTCAATGTTAGAGATTATGTAATATCGAGTCTCCCCTCCTCTTTCCCCTCCTCCTTTTTGTTTTTCCTTGTCGATTCGATATACAAATTCAGGTACGCATCAAAAAGAAAAAAATTCACGTAATATTGATGATTGATGTACCTGTTAAACAAACAAAAAAAAACAACAAACCGCCTAGTTGTTGTTGTTGTTGTTGTTGTTACTTAATGAAAATTTATTAATGAAATAAATATAATTTTTTTATTTATGGTTCGGTAGGTACAAAAAAATATTATTTGACATTTAAAAACGTTTGTGCGATTCGGTCAAAAATATAATTTAATGTCATCGCGATAATGATAATAATAATTATTATTATTATTATTTTTATGTGAAAAAAAATTATTTTGTTGCTTGTGAAACACACACACACACACACAAATCTAACCGTCAGGTATCATTTTGAAATAGAAAATTAATTTGAAATAATAATAATAATAATAATAAAACGAAACGATTTTCGATTAATCGAAGTTCGCGTATCGTTTGTTTCGATAAAAAAAAATGTCGTTCGATTTTTAGCATTTTAGAAAAATTATATTATCGGAAAAATAAATTATCGATTCGTATTTGTTATTGATAATATCGGATAAGGTTTTTTCCTCGTATTTTCTATTGATTTTAAATAGAGAGAGAGAGAGAGAGAGAGAGAGAGTAGGTACGAAAAAACAGGTTTACGAATGATTTCATGAATGAAAATAATTTTTTTAGATTAAACGACGGTGCCTTAACGTCTAACTACTAATGAAATCATTTAAAATTTGTTAAATTCAATCGTTCGCGGTATTTCCCAGTTTTCCCCCTCCCCCTCCTCTCCCCCCATTTTTTTTTACGGTCGCGTATGTATAATTATTAGTCATATCGATCCTGATTTTTGCATAATAACAAGTCCCCCTCACGCACACACGCACACACATATGGAAAATTCTCTCAGGCGTAAAATTGTCCTCAAACTAGTAAAAAATTACATAAAATAAATATTGTGAGAACCCTGGGGGGGGGGGGAATATTTTTTTTTTTTTACTATATTCGCATACGTTATTTGCTATTGGGGATTTGTTTTTCCGGGGATTTAAATCGTGGGGGGAAAAACTGGATTTTCCATTTAATATATATATTATGAAATTTCACAACCTTTTTAACAAAGGAAAAGAAAATTTTTTATATATTTTTTCAAACTATCGGGAAAAATCGGAAAATTTTGATTTGTTCGCCGTAATAAACCCATATCCGCCGGAAATGAAATTTTTTTATTTATTTTCTTATCGAACCTGCGTAAAACGTCATCAATCGATCGATCGATCGATCGATTATCGATTGTAATCGATAAAACAAGAGAAAATTTAAAAAATTTTTACATACGCGTTGTCGTTGGAAATAAAAAATAACCCATAACATTTAACAACAATAGTAATAATAATAATAATAATAATAATAATAATAATAATAATAATAATAATGAAACAAAATCGAGACACGAAATTATTTAAAAAAAAAAAATTTAGGTTTTTCCTACAAAAAAAAAAATGACTGACTTTTTAGGAGTCAAATTTTATAACGTCACGAAAATAAAAAAAGGGAATCGTGTGACCTTAATACACCGCGAGTACCTTTACAGATTAGGTACGTACATCACGTTGTTTGTGTACTCTTTTTTTCTCAACCTTCCACTTTTCCCTTTTGTTAATTTTCATTTTCATGTTATTACGTTATTTTTTATTTTTTTTTTTTTTAATAATAATTAATTGATCCAATGATTTTTATTTTCACGTTTATTTCGCATCGAATCGAATAATATCCGAGAAAATAAAAGTCATGGATTAATTAAATAATGGGAAAGAAATTGTTTTAAGTCAAGGTTTTTTAAATCGAAAGGATCGATAAATGTTATTTATTATTATTATTATTATTAATAATAATTACAAACCCCCCACCCACACCATCTTGAATTTATTGTTTTAATTGAACACGAAAGTGGGGGAAAAAAAAATTATTTATTATTCTTACCTTTTTTTTTTTTTTTTTTTTCTGGGGGGCCGATTGTAGATGAGCACGGGATGTGATTGTCCGGTGATCCAAGCGGGGCCCACATTGGCATCGACATGTGGTGGATCCACTTTCATGCTTTTTATGGGTCTTTTAGAAGTTTTCATAAGATCCCAATGCGATCTTGAAGATCCCTGCGGTAGACCCAAAGAAAAAATTATTTTTGATCCCGAATATGATTTTATTGTCGTCGGTGGAGGAAGCGCGGGTAAATTATTATCATTATTATTATTATTATTAAAACAGGTTTAGCGTATGTGTATTAAAACCTTTTTTTTATATTAAGGTTCCGTCGTTGCGAGCAGGCTGAGCGAAATACCCCATTGGAAAGTATTATTAATAGAAGCGGGTGGAAATGAGCCTACAGGTGCGCAGGTACCATCAATGTTTTTTAATTTCGTCGGTAGTAATATCGATTGGAATTATAAAACCGAACCTGAAGATAGAGCTTGTTTAAACGAACCAGAAAGAAGATGTTCGTGGCCTAGAGGAAAGGTAAGAAGAAAAAAAATTATTAATCGATCGTACCTGAATTTGAAAAAAAAAAAACCAGGAAGTTAAAAAAAAAAAAAATTACGCAAAAGATTATGTGCGTGCGGTTGAATAAAAAAAATTTTTTTTTTAGGTATTGGGTGGTACCAGTGTCATGAATGGTATGATGTACATGAGAGGGAGTCGTCACGATTTTGACCAGTGGGCAGCACTCGGGAACAAAGGTTGGTCTTTCGAAGAAGTACTACCGTATTACCTGAAATCAGAAGATAATCTACAGATAGAAACGATGGATCAGGGTTACCACGGTATCGGAGGTTATTTGACGGTAACACAATTTCCATACCATCCTCCGCTATCCTATGCGATACTCCAAGCCGGGAAAGAAATGGGATACGAAGTTCGGGATCTAAACGGACGTAAACACACGGGATTCGCAATCGCACAAACGACAAGTAGAAACGGTAGCCGGTTGTCTTCATCCAGAGCGTTTTTGAGGCCGATAAAAGCAAGACCGAATTTACACATTCTTTTAAACACGACCGTTGCAAGAGTTTTAATTAATCAGGAAACAAAACAGGTACGATCGCCCTTTAATTTAATAATAATAATAATAATAATAATAATAATAATAATAATAATAATAATAATTTAAAGGTGAATCCGTCACACCTGAAAAAAAAAAAAATTCAAATTAATCATTTGGAGAATTTTTTAAAACAAGTTTTAAGCGAAATTTCTTTTGTTTTAAATCCCCTTAATATTATTATTATCATTATTATTAATATTTTCCCGTTTTGTTTTTCCCATTTTGGAAGGAGGAGTACCGGTTTTTATCACCCACGGGAGTCACATCAAATATTTCGTTTGTTTTTTTTTATTGTTGCTTCTGTCGAATAAATCATTTTTCAGGTATTTTAAAGTTTTCAGGTTCGGTATTAAAGTAAGAAAAATTTATTTAAATAAATACGATTGAAAAATATGAGTCAGGTTTTGTTAGATAACGTTTTAGTCAATACCAAAGGCAAAGGTGTGTCTGTGTCGATGTAAATTGAATCAGTTGCACAAAATATAATAATAATAATAATGTTTGTTAATTTTTTTTAAAAAATAGGTTTACGGAGTTGAAATAGTTACCGGAGATGGACGAAGACAACCGATATTTGCAAGAAACGAAGTCGTTTTATCAGCCGGTGCAGTGGCATCACCACAAATATTATTACTCTCAGGAATCGGTCCGAAAGAAGATTTGGTACCTTTTCACATACCCGTTATACACAATCTTCCCGGTGTGGGTAAAAACCTTCACAATCACGTGGCATTTTTCCTGAATTATTTCATCAACGATACCGACACGACTCCACTCAATTGGGCCACCGCCATGGAATATTTGTTATTCAGAGATGGTCTCATGTCCGGTACGGGTATATCAGAAGTGACGGCATTTCTACCATCGAGGTATCAAAATCCTACGGTCGATAATCCGGACTTACAATTTTTCTTCGGCGGATTCCTTGCCAACTGTGCGAAAACGGGTCAGGTTGGAGAAACATCCGGACCGAATCGTGTTATTAATATCATTCCATGTCTTTTACATCCGCAGAGCAGAGGATACATAACGCTTAAATCCGCGGATCCTTTAGATCATCCGAAAATATTCGCGAGGTATTTGACACATCCGGACGATGCCAATCGTTTGGTCGACGGTATTAAAATCGCATTGAGAATGGCGGAAACTCCATCTTTGAAAAGATACGGATTCAGACTCGATAGAACTCCAGTTCAAGGATGTGAAAATTATACGTTCGGTTGCGACGAATATTGGCATTGTGCCGTGGCAAGAGCGACGGGACCTGAAAATCATCAAGCAGGATCATGTAAAATGGGTCCCCCGCAGGATCCTCTCGCCGTCGTCGATAACACTCTTCAAGTTTACGGGATTAAAGGATTAAGAGTTGCCGATGCGTCCATTATGCCATTTGTAACGAGTTCAAATACGAATGCGCCGGTTATTATGATTGCAGAAAAAGCCGCGGATTTTATTAAAAACGCATGGCTACGAAGATTCGAAGCTAGATTTAATAATCCAAACTGGTTTTAATTTATTCATCGTATTTTTAACATTCAAGTCCTAGTACAATATTAATTGATTGATTGATTGATTGATTGACTGTAAATGATTGATTTTGATATCTTTTTAATCATGAGTGATAAAAAGTGTCGGGCATTTAAAACATTCAATTAAAAATTTTAAATAAACCGAATTAAAATTTAAATATAAATTAAATAATATGCATTTCCGTTATAAAATGTTTTTAAATGTAAATGAATAAAACAAAAAAAAAATAATTTACATCACTTATTTTTTTTTATCTCTTGTTATTTTAAGTTCATCATTCGAAATCATTATTTTAATTTACAAATGTTTTGTTTAAAATTCTTTTTATATATAATTATTATTATTATTATTATTATTACATATGTATATTTCACATGATAATAACAAATAAAATTCGTACCTGTAAGGTTAATTGCTATTTTTTTTTTTTTTTCATTTTTCCTTTAAACACTGATTGACTCGTATATTGACTCACAATAATTGACTGACGATTGCCAACATAATTTAAAGAAAAAAAAAAAAAAAGGCGCCTTAAATTTTATTACGTATGCAATTTGCATTACACGAACGCGTAACAAAATGTATATATCATTTGTAATACTGAACACGAATTGCAAAAATATTCCTCACCGCTAAAACTCTCCTACAATCTTATGTTTGCTTGATAACTATTTTCAATTTACCCATTTGTTTTTACCTGTTTGAAATTTTTCGTTTTTCAATTAGTTTTCAATTTTATCGATAGATGGCATGAGAATTCACTTTTTCAATAATAATAAACAAAATGAACACGTGCGTGTATATTCCATTGTATACTTGTTTCCTACAAAAAAAAAAAAAAAAAAAAAATTTGTTTTGTTTTTTTTGACATGGAAAAATAAATATAAATAATAATAATAATAATAATTCATTTTTAAAAAAATAAAACAAAGCAATATATATTTATAATTTTTAAAAAGCTTTCCAAAGAAATTTTTTTCAAAAAAAAAAAAAAAAAAGATACAAAAATTAAAATTTAAAATGAAGAAATTTTTATAACAATTTGGAAGCAATGTTTAATTTTTTGTTTTGTTTTTATTAACATATTACGTCGAAAAACAAAAATAATAATAATAATAAATTCAAGTGATGACGAGTTTTCCTAATTTTATTTTAAAACCAAAAGTTAATACCAAAAAAAAAAAAAAAAAAAATTACCAATCAAAAAAACAAATAATTACATAAATAAAAAAAATAAAAATAAAAATGAAGAGAGCGAAATTAATAATAATAATAATATTCAAGTCGATCAAATTTTTTCAATGATGATAATAATAATAATAGATATTATAATTACATAATTTAAGAGAAAAAAAAAAAAAAATTGTAAAATTTTGTATTTAAAAATGGAGAAAAAATAAATATCAATCAATAATAAATTTATGATGACCTCATCGATTATTAAAAACAATCATTTTACATGCTTATTAACATTTTAAAATTTTAATAAAATTTTATTTATTTATTTATTTATGTATGCATAAGGAAGAAGACCTTACAACATTTTATTTTTTTGTTTTTTTTCATATTTAAGGGATTGGAAAAAAAATTTTTTCATTTCATTTCAACGACAACAACAAAATAATAATAATAATAATGTCGATTAATAAATAAAATAATAAAAAACGCGTTATTTATTTTAATAACAATAATAATAATAATATTAATAATTAATAAATTAAATAAGAAGCGAGAATTAAAAAAAAAAAAAATGTTAAGTAACTAACAAAAAATTAAAAAAAAAAAAAAAAAAAAAAAAAAAAAAGAAAAACGTTTTGATGAGACCGTTAATATTATTATTATTATTATTATTTTATTTGATTATTCATACTTTCATCTAAAAATTATTTAACACAAAATTATTAATAATAATAATAATAAAACAAAATAATAAACCAGTCAACAAAAAGAGAGAGAGAGAGAGAGAGAGAGAAACCACAGCAACAAAATAAAAAAAAAATTACAGTAAATTATTAGTTAAAAAAATATTAATATTTTAAATATACACGTAAGAAAATATTTTCATTATTATTATTATTATTATTAATAAATAATTACAAAAAATTATGTAATAAAAATATGTCGAAATTAAATTTTTAATAAATATTTTTAAGGCACTAAATTAGATAAAAAAAATGGTGGCGAACCAACTTCGAAAACGGAAGAATTTTCTAGTTAAAAAAAAAAAATTTGCGCAGGTGCGTATCCAGCACAATTTGAATTTAAATAATTACTTTAAAGCAAAATTTACTTATGTATAATAATAATAATAATAATAATTAATAATAAAAATAATCCGTTAACTTAATTTTTTTTTTTTCTTCACATATATATATATATATATATATAAATTTTATTTTATAATAAAAAAATATTTTCTGAGCATATTTTTTATCTTTATTTATTTATTTATTTATTTATTTTATTTGTTTAAATAATAATAATAATAATAATAATTTAAATATAACATTTTAACCTTTTTTTTAATTTTAATTTTACTTTCACATTCCATTTATTTTTTATTTTTTCTTCCATTTTTTTATTTATTTATTTATTGTTAAGTTGAACAAAAAAAAATTAAATAAAATAAGATAATAATAATAATAATAATAATAATATAAATAAATTAATGTAAAATATATTTTATATATATATATATTTTGTTTGTTTATTTTTTTTCGTTTTTTTTTTTTTTTTTTTTTCATTTGGATTATTTATTATTTACATAACGTGTTTTATTTTTTTTTTTTTATTATATAAAAACAATCTTTGGTATTATTAAAAAAACAAAACAAACAAACAAA